AATCCTCCCCGTCGCCCTGGCTCTTCGGCTCTCCCTCTCCGCCTCGGGCTCCTCCACCACCTGCTCCGCCACCGTTGGTCGGCCCCCTGGAGTCGGCGGCCATTCCTCCTCCATGGCTCCTCCCTCCGTTGGCTCCACCATGGGTCGACATGGCGGTGGCCTGGGTCCTGCTGTGCTCCTCTTGCTCCGGGTCCCTCCTGTCGCCCCCCTGGTTTCTGTCTGCCGGCCTCCTCCCGGATATCCGTCCTCCTCCGGAACCTCCTCCCATGTTCCCACCCACGCCTCCCTCTGTTGTTGCTATGGTGTGAGGATGCACCTTCCGGGAGGGGGCGTTATGTCAGAATTATGGACTACTCTGTGTGTGTTTTTGCCCCTGTGACCCAGTTTCTTCCTCATGTTGATTGTGTTAATTTGATTCCAGGTGTGTCTCGTTCCTCCCCAATTATCCTGCCTTTAAAATGGATTATTAAAGACTGTGTTATTCAAGTACTCCTCGTTTCTTGTTCCTTGCTCCCCGAGTGAATTGTGACACCTTTGTATTTTGTGATTCATTTATTTCCTTTGCTTCAAAAAGTCAGAGCCAGTGTTATGCAAGTTTTCTTTTTCTGTCAAACTATGGGAATTTCTGATCAAACGCTTCCTTTTTTCGCAGATCAGAGAGTTTCACTCTGTTGAAGTCCTTCTGTTCAGTTGCATCTTGACAAGCTGAGAGAAATTGTTTGCTTCAGATCTCTGCTTTTATACTGGACATCAAATGGTGACCCAACTCAAAAGCATGTCCTTAAACTTTTAATTTAATTTATATTTATTTTCATTGTCAATAATTTATTGGACAAAACGCTTTGTTTCTGGTTGACATGTTTATTCTAATTGCAAGTCATATTTGCTTTTGCCTTGTGTTTGGTTTTTAAAGATGAATACATGCCATGAAACTTGAAACTTGTCTGTGCTGGCATCTGCCTATGTTGTGATGAATCTGCACCAGAAGAGTAAAGAGTTAAATTGGATGTTGTAATAAAACAGATATGGAAACATTTCCTACCTACTTTTAAATGTTGATTAGTAGTCGTAAATATAGCCTTGCTGACAGCACTCCGACATATGGCGACTCACCATCTCTTAACATGGTATGATGTATGGTCAGCGGTTGGTGAAAACATTGTCCATTTTGGTTTGGGACCATATTATCTACAACCGCTGTTAAATAGGCCACTCCAGACTCCCATTTTTAAAGCTAAATGCTATATCACATAAATCTCAACACAGTCTCTCTGGCATGCTGAATTATGTAGCGTTATGTCTGATGCTGCACACATGGGTTTTGTCAGGCTTGACTGACCTTGTGCTCTTTCTCTTTCTGTCTTTCATGTAATCTTTCTCTTAGGATCAAGGAATGAAATCTCCTTCAGCTGTATCAAACCAGTGGGGCTCATATTTTGTGGACGTGCAAAAGAATGAAGGAGAGGAGACACGGAGACTCACCTGGTGTTGCCACAGTATCCACACATACAGCACCATGGCTATACCCAGCATTGAGGCTATAGCAGGTAAGTCTATTTAACATACAGGGGGTCCAAAAGTCTCAGACTGGTACTGAAAATGTTTCCATTTTGCATTCTTTTCTCATTTAGAAAAGAAGATTTCTTAGCATTTAGTATATAAAAAAACATAATATTTGTCATTTCATCCTTTTCGTTTAATGACAGCTTTCCTTAGCCAGTACAGTTGAATATGTTGAATGCAATGAACGTGGCTTTGGATAAATTCTGAACTAGAAATTGTACATCATAACTTTCAAAATCCTATAGTTCTGTTCTAAGATTTAATTTTCAATCACGTCTGAAGCTTTTGGCTCCCGCTGTATATACTGAACACATCACTGAGGAAACAGTTAACAGGGGTTTTCCGTTCTCTTTAATTCCAAAGCCAAGCCTCAAAATGGGAAATGAGGATTCAATGAGTACGGGTATCATTTGCAGAGTTTGGTGAATCTTAATTTCTGAACTGACTAATCAAAGACCTGAAACTTACAGGGGACCTATTATGCTTTTTTGGACTTTACATTTCTTTTAGTGTGTAATGTGGGTATTTGTGTATGTAATAGATCTGCAATGTTGCACAGCACAAAGTGTGACTTTGTGCTTTGTAACTTTGCAGATTGATTACACTGCTGGTAACTGTTTCTTTAGTGACGTGTTCAGTTCATACAGCGGGAGCCAAAAGTCTGTGATGAAAAAGCTTAGAAAAATGACTGGTTCAGGCAGTTTGATGCTGGTCAGTGTTTCGTATGGACATAAACACTGACACAATATTATTTATTTATATATATATATAT